TATTTTTCTGTAATATATATATATATATTATTAAAATGATAAATACGTTAAAAATACAATAATCAAATAATAATAATATTTAAACTGTTTATCTTAATAACATTACTTCATCTATCTCCTAAAATTATATTCAATTTTTTTGTTTGTCTTTTAAAAATATTTCAATCTTCTTATCTAATAAAAATTACACATTCATATTGAAATATATTTTTTGGTTTGCACAAAATATAGTTATTGTTAGAGAAATTTAGTTGTTTGACTCTAGGTCTAAAATGTATATGTTCTTGGGATATCATCTTAGTCAAAAGAAATTTAAGTTGTTTGATCTTATTTTCATGGATGTTCAATTTTTTGAAACTATCTTCTTATATTTTAGTCACTCTTTATTTTCACTTTCTGTTAGTCTTTGATTATTTTTTTTTTCATATTTTTCCCGCTTAGTCTGTAACACTAATTATGCAACCACCTTATCTAATTATACACTCCATTCATCGTCACCATATGAGTTAAGCCTCCCATCACATGTTCTCTCACGTTTTTCAACTGTTGTTACCTTGCTAGATATTGCCCCTTTTGATATTACCTCTGATGATTCTCATGTTCCTTCTTAGAGTCTATATCAACTCCCATGCCTTTCAATGAGAAACGTTTTAGACTTCTTATCTTCGCCAAAAACCCTATTGGCACAAGAATTGTTTTATTTTCTCATTTGACACATATATGGCATTATGCATATAATACCTCTTATCAAGAATCAATGTCTTTTGCACATACTATGAAAGATTATTCCTGGTAGGCTTCTATAGCTAATGAACCGCATGCTCTGGAATCAAATGGTACTTGTAATTGACCGCATTACCTTTTGGAATCATACCAATTTTTAGAAAATGAAATTTTCACTGTAAGAGCAATGTAGATGGCTGCATTCACAAATATAAGTCATGTTTGGTTGCTAAGGGACTTCTCGAAATTCCGGGACATGATTTTACAAAATCATACGAGCCAGTTGCTAAAGTTGTAATTGTGCATTTATTACTTAGACATAGCTACAGAAAAAGGGTTGGGCAATTTATCAACTTGACGTCAACAATGTTTTCCTCCATGGCCGTCTTGAGGAGGATCCGTACATGGTTCCTTCAGCAAGCAGCCACGCTGCACCAGATAAGTTTATAAGCTCAAGAAATTCATTTATGGTCTTTGTCAGGCACCGCGGCAATGATACGAAGAATTTCTAGACAAGATTATTCATTTGGCTTTCAAAACTCCAGTCATGACCATTTATGGTCTTCACCAGGCACCGTGCCAATGACACAAAGAATTTTCAGACAAGATTCTTCTATTTGGCTTTCAAAACTCCACTCATGACAATTGTTTCTTTATTGTAGCATCTTCCTCTGGCTACAATGGTCTAATGGCTATGTCCATGATGTCTTAATAACAAGGAACAAACTCTTCATTATTCTTTTAAGTTAAAGCCTGTCTTTACAAGAAATTTACTATTAAAGGTATTGGTTGTATAGGCTTCTTCCTTGCTATTTGGATTAGTTCAGCTTCCTATGTTTTTTATGACTCACAACTTAGATTTATTGAGGATATATTGATTTATTCATGCTTGCATGAGGCACTTCTTGTTCCACACCTTTCTCCTCTGATATAAGCTACAAATATAATGGACTAACTTCGATAGGCCTATTCTATATCGTTGTATTGTTGGACGGATACTATAGCTTACTTGACTTAGCTCGATCTCTTCTTTGTTGTCCAATAACTTTCCCATATCATGTCATGTCTGACTATCGATCACTAGAAAGGTGCTCTGCATGTGTTGGACTATTTCCATGGCATCAAACACCTTAAACTTTTCTTCCCTTTATCTTGATATTTCACTTATAACGTTCGTGGATGTAGATTGAGGCAGCTATTTAGACTCTAAAAAATCTCCACTGATTTTGGTATTTTCCTAGGTTCCTCATTAATATCATGGAAGACAAAGAAGTTACCTATTATCTCATATTCGTCTTCCGAGGCCAAGTATCGTGCCTTAGCCTCAACCGTCTAAAAATTTTTATGAATCACCTATCTCTTGCGCGACTTCTAGATTTCTATTCCTCAACCCACATTTATCGCAAGTGACAGTCAATCTGCCATAGAGATGGTGAAGAATCCGATTCATCATGAAAGTGCTAAACACATTGATATTGATTGTTATTTAATTCGTTATTACTATGCCGCTAGGGTCGTTAATCTTGTATATATGTCTTCTTCTCAGTAGCTTGCATATGTTTTTACCAAATTGGTATCTTCCACAATCATGTGTTCTTTTGTTAATTTGCAAGCTTAACTTGCTTCATAAGCTAGTTTAGCTCGAAGGAGGGTGATGGAAATAGAAAGCATGGACCGCAAGGCTAATGTGCGTTAAGAGACTTGTTTAGTTATGAGTTTATTGTACAATAGATTATTAGGGTATGAACAACGGTGGAATTTCCAATATGAAGATATTCCACATAACTATTATAACAAAAAATAAAAAAATTAAAAGAAGTGGAGAACTCCACCACAAAATACTCCCTCCATCCCGCTTAAATTGTCTTAGTTTTTTAAAAGAATTATACACTTTAATCTCATTCAAATTTTCTTAGGGGGTTTATTAAATATTGATTATGTAGGATATTGTTGGACTTTTAAAATTTGGGTGTTCAATACATACTTTTAAAGTCTTTTAAAATCTAGGTATTCAATTCAAATTTTTAAACGTTTTTTAAAATCTAGAGATATTCAATCAGATTTTTTTTTAAAAGTTATTTACTTTTGAGGTATTCAATAATTGATAGACTTTTAAGATTTTATTGTATTTTGATGAAAAATTATAAAACATTTGTATAGTATAAATCTCTCTATGGTAACTAGAAATTTTAATGGATTTCTAAACTTATTATTATTATTATGATAATAATTATTAATATTATTATAATATTTAATAAAAACAATAATTCAAAAATAAAATATATTAGCGATATATTATCAATTTTTTAAAAATATATATTTTTATATTATAAATATAATATTTAAAAAATATTATTATCATAATAAATATATATTATTGCCGTATTTTCTTTTCAATTATCGAATGCAATATATTGTCATTGCAGCATCGTTCTCACCTTTCAATTATCCAATAGCTATATTGTCATATCGGTAACAGTGGAATATAGATATTTATGTATTTATATATATTTTCGTTAAACTGTTAGTTTATATTTATTTACTTCTTTTTTTTTCAAAAATCGTAAATTATAGTATTTTTTATTTTATTTATATACATATTTATTTTTTATGTAAAAAAATTATATAATTAATAATAATAACAAATAGAAAATATAAAAATAATTTGATATATTGAACGATAATAATATTAAAAATTATAACATTAAAAATATTAATATACAATAAGTTTAATTATAAATATATTATATTTATAAAAATTGTGGTTGATAAAATTTATATAATTATATATATCAATAAAAAAAAATTATTCATCAATCCTATTAAATCAATATAAATTTATAAAGAATTCAAGTCTGTAAAAATCTATCTAAATCAATTATTAAAATTCATCAAACTCAACATATACTCTGTTGATTTTCTAAAATCACAAAAATCCATAGAGTTTTTTTTTTTTAAATATTCATTGAAATCTCAATTTTATACGCCCCTCAATTTATAATTTTTTTTTTAAAATTTTAAATAAATTAATTAGTTATCTTAATCGTAATGTGAAATTATTTTTATTATAGAATAATTATTTTCACTAATATATTTTTTATTATTTACTAATATTTATATAAAAAAGATGAGTAGAACCTCCGACTTATGTGAAAAAAAAAGTAACGTGAACAATAAAAAAAGAAATTAAGATACTTGTAAACAATCAACTTCTTCAATGAAAAAATTCAAAAGTCTTTTACTAGTTTTTTTTTTTTTTTTTTTGCTGTGCTTTTTCTCGTGCTTTCTGTCATTATATTCATTCATTAAAAGTTAATATTAATTATTATTTTTTTATTATTAATATAATTTTTCTTGCTTGACCTAAGAAAATATAGAAAGTGAACACACTATTATAAAAACCCTATGCTATGGTGACCAGAACAATATTATATATAACGCTGAATTGATCTTATAACATTCTTAATTACATCGTACCATTAATGCCTTATTATATTAAGTGTTCAAATGGAACGAATTCGAAAGTTGTAAATGTCTACAACTTCGCTATTTCTGAGCTGTAATGCACTAAGCTTCATATCTTTCGCCAAAAATCAAATCAAAATTATCATTTTTTATTCCCATAAATACCGTTACACTCGCTTTCAATATTATTTTTTAAATACTATCTTCGTTTGGTTACAAATAATTTTTTTATTGGTCCCACATAAGATATTAATTTTTATTTTTAGTAAATTTATTCATCTTAAACATAATTAACAAATCTAATTAAAGCTGTAAACTCACTCAAAATCCCTTTATTTCTATATATTTTCTCAATAAACAAATAATTTTTTTTTATCAAAAATTTAAAGTTTTCATTTTTTATAAAATTAGTTTTAAGTTAATTATAAATTAATAAGAGTCACATTTACTTTTTGTTTTATCGTACTTAACAATAAAAATATCTTTATATTTGTATAATTTTTTATACAAATATCCTTTTATTAGTATCATAAGACACTAATGAAAATAATTTTGCAATTTTTTTCTTAATTTGTACTATGTTTTAATATAATAATTAATATTCAAATATTAATATGCAAAAAAATAAATGAGGCCCTTAGAATACTAGTAAAATTTTATTATCTTAAAAAATAGTATTCATATTGCATATATTTTTATTAAAATATAATTTTAGAAATATTTAAAATATCAATAACACTACCCATATAAAAATAAAATAAAATAAAATAAACTAAAATAGTATCACTAATTTAAAACAGTAAAAATTCGATTACCATTAAATCTTGCATAAGTTAATTAAAACCGATCATTTAATTTAACTCTAACAACATTCTCGACCCGTACCATGATTCCGCACAAATGGACACCGTCGTCTTTCCTGCCGGCGGTAGCCATCGCCGTCGCCGTCCTCGGAAACCTTGCCGGGACGGTGAATTGCCAGTACAATTGCGACGACTCCGGCGGGAACTACACGACCAACAGCACGTACCGGGAAAACCTCGGAGCCCTCCTCTCGGACCTTCCGTACAGGGTCGGCCGGAGCGGGTTCTACAACGGGTCGGCGGGTCGGAGCCCCGACGACGTCGTCAGCGCCGTCGTCCTCTGCCGCGGTGACGTGGACGTGGGCACGTGCCGCACGTGCGTGGGGAACGCCACCGTGAGTCTGCTCCTCTTCTGCCCCAGCCAGAAGCGGGCGTACCTGTGGCGGGACCAGTGCATGCTACGGTACTCCGACGAGTACATTTTCGGGATTCCGGCGACGTTCCCGTCGTTCTGGGCGTGGAATTGGGAGAACGCCACCAGCCTGGACCAGTTCCGGGGGGTGGTCCGGGCCCTGCTGAACGAGCTCCGGGATCAGGCGGCGGCCGGCGGGGCGGTGAGGAAGGTCGCCGGCGGTGTCCGGCCGGGGCCGGATTCTCAGACGGTGTATGCGCTGGTGCAGTGCACGCCGGACATAACGGCGGTGGAGTGCAGCACGTGCTTGCGGGGGGCGGCGGAGGATCTCGGCCGCTGCTGCGACTGGCGGACCGCCGGCGGGATCTTCCGCCCCAGCTGCAATCTGCGTTACGATAATTATGCTTTTTACAATCAGACTCTACTCCAGGCGTTGCTGGCGCCGCCGCCGCCAGGTCAGTCAGTTCATAAAAGTAGCTACACAGCAAAATAGTAAAATCTAATGCCAATTGAAAACGAGGAGTGTGCATTTTATTGTAATTTTAAACTGAAATCAATAGTATTATTTTTTTTTTATGATTTTTAATAAAAATATTTTTATCCATCTATTTCTAAGGGTCATATTTAATTTTTGCATTATTGTAGTTAATATAAAAATATCCTTTCTTATATTTTGCAATTTTAGGTTAATTTGTACTAAATTTTGATATAAAAATCTTAGAGTCGCACGGAGGCAGTACTATTTTATTTTACAAAAAATATTATATCAAAATACTATTTAAACAAAAATTCAAATTACTTCAAATTAACACATCATTTCAAATTAATTTCAAACTAAAAAAATAATAATAATTCATATTTTTTAAGAATATGAAATCAAATGTTATTTTTAGTTAACATTATAAAAAAAACAAAAATTAGTTTTTAATTATAATATAACATCAAATATTTATTTATACCACATTAAAATTTATTTTATTCTAAAAAGTTTATTATTCTCCTATACCCAATTCAAATATAGTAGATCTTAAAGAAAAGCATTGACACCGGCGATTTTCAGATCAAATTGTACAATGTTTATCGTAACATTGGCCTATTGCGCATAAATCAAATGAAAGATTGTGTTTATTTTATAGGTAATACACTCCGTCCCACCATTTGTGTCTGATTTACAGTTGATACGAGAATTTAGATCAAATATAATTAAATAAGTAATTAAAAAATATATTAATAAAAATAATTATAAATTAAAATTAAAATAATTAAATAGTATAATTAATATTTTAAACAGAATAGATTATGAAATTTAAAATACGATTAAAATGACAAATAAAGTAAAAAAGACAATAAATAAATAGAAATAGTCAACAAATAAAGTGAAACGTGAAGTATTATAATTTATAGTACTATTATTTTAATATAAAAAATCATTTAAGATTTATTTTAATGAATTATACATAGAATTATTAATTTTAAAATATTCTTAATATGTTCAATAGAATTAATACTAAGTTGACGATGAATAAATATGTAAATAATTTGAATAAAATAATAGAAATATATTTGTTTGGTTGTAATTTCAATTTGAAATTATTATTATTCACTATTCACTGTTTTCAATCAATTATATATTTTATCTCATAAAATATTACATTAAAATACTATTTAAATAAAAATTCAAATCAATACTTCATCTTAAATTAATTTTAAATTACAATCAAATAAATCATTAAAAATCACATGCAATTTGCAATATATTCCCAAATAAATTAACATAAATAAAATAAAATCATATTCTCATAAGATATTTGGATGTTGTAAAATTTAAAAGATCAAACTATATATCGATTAAATTAATTTTCCAAATAATTCAAATAAATGATTATGGTTAGTAGGGGTGAGCAAAATATCCAAAATTCGAAAATTTGATTCAAACCAAACCGAAATTTAAAATTTGGTTCGGATTGAATTTTTGACAAATTTCGGATTTTCAGTTCGGATCGGATTGGTATACTTAAAATCCAAACCAATCCGAAATATAACATTTTAATATATTTTTTTTATTATATATATTTTTAGTATTTTATTAGAAAATATTATATGTTAATATAAAAAACTCAAAATTATTAATTATATTTTAATGTATTTACTTTTATATATTATATATATATTTAATATTATAAAATAATAATAAAATATAAAAGAAATTTACAAATTAAAAAAATAATTAAAAATATTTAAAATTTCGGATTTTTCGGTTTGGTTCGGATTTTTTAGTTCGAATTTTAGATTTTCGGATTTCGATTATTTCGGTTCAGTTCGGATTGATTTATTCAAAAATTTTGGATTTTCGAATCGGTTCGAATTTAACAAAATCCGAATCGAAAATTGAATCACTATTTAAAATATATATATATATATATATATATGAAAATAACTGAAAATAGAAATGGCATGTTTTTCCCTTTCTTTTTTTTTCTGAAAATAATAATTTTAACCATCTATGTTTTAATCATCATCATCATCATCATCACCATTCACCTAAATAGTTAGGAACACAATTATATATGAATAATTTAAAGCGAAAAAAAAAAAAAAGTATAAAACCCATAACCAGCTATGTTTGATTTTTTAAACAAAAAGCACAAATATTCAATTTGAATTGTTTTTAATAAAAATATATTTTATTCTTTTATAAAATATTAAATCAAAATAGCATTAAAAAAAAAAAAAAATTCTAATTCAAACTAAAATTAAACCTCAAGAGTGAACAATGTGTACTTTAATTGTTTTCACAATGAAAAATAAAAAGAAAAATATATAGTTTGTATTTTGTATTTAAATAGTAATTAGATGTAATATCTTATTAAATGAAATACTCCATCCGTCTCATTGAAAGATTACCATTTTTCATTTTCGTCCGTCCCAAAACAAGGTTACCATTTTCTAATTTAGTAATTGTACTACCTACTTAACATAATAAATACCCTTTCAACTTACAATATATTACACAAATGCCATTACTTTTATATTACACTATACTAATAGGGATATTTTTGTCTTTTTTTACTACAATCCAATATAATATTAATATTAAAAAATCTACATGAAAAAAGCAAACGCCACACTTTCAATGGGACGGAGGGAGTATGTATTTTTCATTTTTTTTTTTTTTTTTTTTTATAAAGAACAGTGGAAACACATGGTAATTTTATTTTTTTAAAAAAAATAAATGATGATCATATTCTTATGGTAAAATTTTAACTTTCTGAAGTATATGATTTCTTACAATTTGGATAAGTTGAGTAGGAGGAAATAGTAGCAAAAAAAAAAAAATGGATCATATTCTTATGGTAAAATTTTAACTTTCTGAAGTATATGATTTCTTACAATTTGGATAAGTTGTGTAGGAGGAAATAGTAGCAACAATGGCAAGAACATTGCTCCAAAGGTCATCGGCATTGTTTTTCCGTTTGCCGGAACTTTGATCCTTGCGGTGGTTCTGTGGATTTGCATCTTTGAACGAAGAAGAAGAAGAGATCAGCATAAGCCAAAGAAAGCCCTTGAGATTATGAACACCGAAGAGTCTTTGCAATATGATTTTATCACAATTCGAGATGCAACTAACGACTTCTCCGAGGATAATATCCTTGGACAAGGTGGATTTGGGACGGTTTACAAGGTAATAATAGGTACAAATACTATAATTGTATGTTTACATATGCGACAATTTCATGAGATTAGTCTCTTAAATAATATTTCCTGAGTAAATTATAAAAAATATCCCACACTTATATACCCTATATCACTTTTGTCATGTATTTATCTTCCTGGCAAAATATATCACACATGTTTACAAAATTGTTATTTATGTCATTTTCCCGCGCGTGAAATTCACACCACGCGCCCTTACGCGGCCAAATGATAGAAATAACGATTGTTGCAAACATGTGAGCTATATTTTGCCAGCGAGATAAATACATGACAAAAATGATAATGGAGTATACGTGTGAGATATATTTTGCAATTTTCCCTAACATTCATTATAATTGACTCTTTTTAAGTAAATCATGTCTCAATTAATCTTTATTGGAAGGATATATAATATGTAAAGAACGATGAGTTTTCTATTAGTTAAATTTTTATGTAAAATGATCATTTATCATAGTATTACAGCAGGAGGTCCTGTATTCGATCATTTATCATAGTATGAGAACAGGGGTTTTTGTTTTCAATCATTTATCATAGTAATATGTTTCCAAGAAGCTATGAAGTCCGGTTTCCATAGTCGACAAAATTTCTAACATCCTTCGAGTCAATTTTTATTAACACAATGCCTCTATGGTTATAAAATTACATTGTTCTCACGGTAGGGAGTGCTTGCCGATGGACAAGAAATAGCGGTGAAACGGCTGTCGAGGGGGTCAGGGCAAGGTGACGTGGAGTTCAAGAATGAGGTTGTCTTAATGGCTCGGCTGCAACACCGGAACTTAGTTAGGCTTTTGGGTTTTTGCCTAACCGAAGCCGAGAGGCTCCTCGTATACGAATTTGTTGCAAATGCGAGCCTTGATCACTTTGCATTCGGTAAATTTAGCTTATTCGATCATATATACAATGTTTTTTTGTTTTCTTTTTTTTCATCACACTACTATTACTCATTGTTACATGAAATTTTTACTTCTTTTTTTTTCTTTGTTCGCTCTCGTGGTGTTTTTGATTACGTGAAAATTCATGGGCAATCTAGACCCGATTATGCGACAACGCCTTGAGTGGAATACACGTTACATGATAATTAAGGGCATTACGAAGGGGCTTCTATATCTTCATGAGGATTCTCGATTGCGGATCATCCATCGCGATCTCAAACTTAGCAATGTACTTTTAGATGGAGAAATGAATCCCAAGATTGCGGATTTTGGCATGGCTCGGCTCGTCAAGGAAGATGAAACTCACGGTAGCACAAGCCGGATTGTTGGAACCTAGTAAGTTTTAAGGGTTTGTTCTTCCTATAATTTTTTTTCACACATTTTTCTAAAAGAATTAATACACTAATATATATTCATTATTTTTATATTTCTTACACAATTCCATATACTTCGTATAATTTTTTTTTTTTTTTTTTCCACCAATCTCACAAAACAAACACACCCTAAGTAGATCACTTTTTTTCATTTAATTGTTTTGGATCTTAATTGGGTAATTACACTATTTATTATTTTAGTTGTCTTAAATTGAGTTTATCATAAAATAGATATATATCACTTATTACTTATTTCATGATATAATTTGGTGGGTGACATTTACAATGTAGTGTATACACATCTGAATGTTGCGCACAAAATTATATCATTAGAATAACAATAAGTAAGATAATATAATAATTTTGGATCATTTATCTTCGTTTAATTTATTTGGATTTTAATTTGATAAGTGACATTATTTATCATTGCAGTCATTTTGATTTGACTATATCATAAATAAAACAGGCATATATATCTCACTTATTTTGTTCACATGATCTAATTTAATTTAATGCGTGACATTTATCATGCAGAGCTTTTACATGTCTCTTTCTCGTGACAAAAAAATAATTATTTTATATTTCGTAGCTAAAACTATTTTGCTATAAAATTAAAATTTATAATAAAAGAGTTTTAGCAACAAAATATGTATGATTGTTTAGCTGAATACTTTTAGCTATGAAAAATAATTTTATAGCTAAAACCCTTTTGTTACGAAGATAGAATTTTCTAACAAAAAAAATTTTAGCGACAAAATTAATTTTGTAGTACATAATTTACTTTTATCGATGAAATTAATTTTTGTAACTAAATGACATGTTTTAACTACAAAAATATATAATAGTTAAAATTATTGTAGTTAATTAGATAATCCCTCCATCCCATATCTATCTATTCGTTTGTTTTTTGCACGGAGTTTTAGAATTATTAGTATTATATTGAGATATAGTATAAATAAACGCAAAAAGACTAAATTAATCTTATTAGTATTGTATGATATAAATGTAATGAAGTTTGTATAATATATTGTAAATTTGAAGACTATTTATAATATTAGGTAGATAGTACAATTACTAAAAAAATAAAAAATGAATACTTTGTTATGCGACTGATTAAAATAGAAAAATGAATAAATTGTTAAGGGACGAAAGAGAGTATTTTTTTTTTACCGTGTGTCTAACTTGATTCACGAGTATGATGAGTAAAAACTACAATCTTTCTACCGCAGCGGATACATGCCTCCGGAATACACATTCCAAGGGCATTTCTCGGTGAAATCTGACGTGTTCGGCTTCGGCGTAATGATCTTAGAAATTGTTAGCGGGCAAAAGAACAGCAATTTCCGAAATGGCGACAACATCGAGCACCTCTTAAGCTATGCGTGGAGAAATTGGCAAGAGGGAACTCACGAAAACGTGATCGATCCGATCCTAACTTCGAGCCACGGCTTCTCGAACGTCGACGCGCTTAGGTGCATCCACATTGGCCTGCTCTGTGTCCAAGAAAAAGCGTCGTATCGCCCCGCGATAGCCGCCGTGCTTATGATGCTCGACAATGCGTCACTCATCCTCCCGGCGCCGTCGAAGCCGGCATTCTTCATGAATGGGAGGTTGGACGGAGATCGTAGCTCCGTTGTGCGCGAAGAACAGATGGATTTGAATAATCGAAGTAGTTTGTCGTCGTCGCCGACTTCGAATCGTCGAATAAATAGGGTTTCTGATCTTTCTGGCGATGGTACTCAGATCACTGATTTGTTTCCACGTTGATTTTAGTTCCTGTAGATGCATTTTTTGTGAATTTTGATTGATATCGTGTTCGTGTGTATGTCTATTTTGGATCTTTAATTGATCGTTCGATTGGATCAAAAGGTTGGATGTTGCCGTCGGTTTAAATGTAGAAATTTGCTAATGGATTTGGGGTTGGTTAGTGGCTGAGATTTTGATTCCAAACTAGATTATGTTTACGTAAAGCACAGTTTTTTACATAATTCTCGAATAATATTATAAAATAATACTCCCCTGTCTTAACAAAGTATGTTGATTTATTAGCCATGAGTTTCAAGAAAAATAGTGAAAAAAAATAGAGTAAAAAAGAATATACTCACTCCATCCCACCTACCATATCTATATTGTCGTTTATATTCGTTTGTCCCATATTACTTTCTTTTTTTTAAAAATGATTATACATTTTAATCTCATTTTAAATTTTTTAATTTATTTTTTTAGTTTTAATTAAACTAATTAGTTATCTTAACCTTAATCTATAATTATTTTTACTAATACATTCTTAATTACATACTAATTATACTTATCCTAAATTCCACTGTCTACAGTGACCCAGATATTCAATGTGGGACGAAGGCAGTACTTTTTACTAAAGAAATCAAACCAAAATAAATTTAAATGATAACGGAAAATAAAAATGTGAGAATAAATTTAGATAAAAATGATTTGTTCTCTATACAGATATTATTATAAATGAATGGAAATGAAAGCAAAAGTAATGTACATTCAATAATTTTTAGGGTGGATAATACTATTTTATCCACCCTAATCACATGTTTACTGTAATCGATCAAAGCCCGGTATTGATTAAAGCTCAATATACTAATATGCTAATTAAGAATAATTAATCCTACCTAAATGGGTATGATTAATTTATCAAAGTAATATTTATACTAAAGTTTATGTCTATCTTATATATAATCAAACAAATTAAACATCATATTAATTAATCCTATGACTATTTAATCCATCAAAATAATCTACTCGCTTTAATTCGATCATTCAAATAAACACACCCTTACAATAAAATATACTAACATGTTGTAAAAAAATGACCACCGACGGCCTAATCGGGAAGGCCAGTCGAAATCGATTTGTTGGAAGGGTTCTCGGCTTTATCAAAAAAGGATTCGGCAAAGAAACCATTCCAAGACGAACATCATTGTTGCGTGGACACCAGCCGTCGGTGGAGTTGCCTCAATCGTACGTCGCTGTAGACACCAGTTGTCGGTTCCGTTGCTTCAATCATCGTCGTGGGATCAACTGGGGGGCCGATGAGCATTGTCGACCCGGGCCCCCTCGTCTCGCATTGGTTGAAAAGAAGAAGAAAAGTGTGTTTGTTTGGGAGTTTGGATTTTGAGTTGGGATTTGAATAGTAAAAATTTTGAATTTGAATAGTTGTATGATGTGATATAAATAAGTGTTGATGTGATGTTTTGAATATAAAATTAATTTTTAGTATAATATAAAAAATAAAAAATAAATGTTTGATTTGATATTTTTGAGAAAAAAAATTTGAATGAACAGTGTAAATCCAATCTAATCCTACCGCAATTCGACCCACTGGTTGGACGTGGCCTTACCGCCACCAGAGTTCACGTTGATCCCAAAGAAATATGGGTGTGTTTCTCAAATTGCAATATGGACTTGAAAATGTAACCAACTGTTTATTTTATTTTATTTTATTTTATTTTTTTGCATTTTGGTTTGGATAGATTTGTGACACGTAATCTTTGGAGGCTTTTTTAACAGCGTCCATTAGGCCATCCATAGCCATAGGCGTGTTTCTTTAATATTATGAGAGAAACCCACATGTTATATTTAAAAATCAAATTGTTTCATACGAGGGTGTAAAACGTTGGTTACTTCGGCAAAACTCTGAGATGAGTATAATTCTTGTTATGTGTTTCAATTACACATGATAAAAAAAAAAATATTTATTTTTATTTATCTTTTATTAACTTTATTTTTATTTTCTTATATATTTATTAATAATTTTTATATTTTATAAAATTTTATTCTTTACAAAATGATACCAATATTAATATATTTTTATTTAATAAAAATTTTAATTAAATATAATCAATTAATAATAATAATAACAATTTAATTTTTTAATTATCTTATAATTTATTCATTAACTATACAAATAATTTAAATATATATAATTACTGAATATATAATTAAAATTTAAAAAAATATAAAATTAATATAAATTACAACATCGGATGTAAAACTCATCGTAATAATATTAAAATCGACAAACATAACAACATACATAATGACCTAGAAAATAAAATATGAAAATCAATAAACATAACAACATAAAAGCATGAATATAACAAATATAGATAATTAAACAGTTAACTAAACAATTTGTTGAATAATTTGATCTTCAATTTTTTTTCGTCCGCATCCAAATTTTCACCTCTTGCCAATAATATATTAAATGTTTCATACTTTTTTGCTTGGATAAGATCAATATTCTTCTTCATTTTTTCTTCTCTCATATCAGTAATATAACCTAAATGTTTTATAACTTTTGCATTTTAAGCTTTCATATCTTCAAAATCCTCATAAAAAATATATTTTGAATCTTGCTTTTGTACTCGTTTTCCCTTATTTTTGCAAGCTTTGAGACAGGGGGACGAATAAGATGTGATTCATAAAAATTGTCATTTTGTGGTGTTAGAAGATTTGAACTTGATGAATATCCACCAACTTTGTTGATTTTGGTTCTCTTCGAACCACCACTACTATCATGAGACGCTTCATCAACAATATTAGTAGCACAATAATTTGTATGCCATTTTGGTCCTTGTTGCAGAAGAACGTGATTTCCCAGGAATGATCCGTAGTATTGATTGCATGCATTGAGAATGAAAAAATTGTCCGGCTGCTTGGAAACGTTAGTTTTCATGTGGAGATCATGGCAAACCAACAATTGTATTAGAGGCAGTGGCATCGTATGATCTATGGATTTGTCATTCATTTTTTTGTACACCAGGTACATGCAATGATATTAATGTGTTTGATCAATTTCCAATATTTAACGATGTTTTGAATGGCAGAGTTCCGGAAATAAATTTTATTGTCAATGGTCACCAATATAATATGGGATACTATCTTACGGATGATATTTATCCTCCATGGGCAACTTTCATCCAATCAATTCGTCTTCCACAAGGTTTTAAGGCAAAATTGTTTGAACAACATCAAGAAGTAGCTCGAAAAGTTGTGGAACATGCTTTTGGTGTATTACAAGCTCGATTTCCTATTATTCGTAATCTATCAGTTATTTGGAATATCAATTTAATTGGTAAGATCATAAGGGGATGTATTATCTTACATAATATAATCGTGGAAGATGAAAGGGATACATACATGCTTTATCACGATATCTCTCAATTTGATCAAGAAGAAATGGATTGGTCATATTCAACGGACCAGCATATCACGATATCTCTCAATTTGATCATGAAGAAATGGATTGGTCATATTCAACGGACAGACATGCTGGTACGACGGAGTATTTAGAAAATCGAATCAAACTTTGAGATCGTGGAACACATCACCAACTAAAATTAAATTTAGTTGAACACATGTATCAGAAGTTTGGTTCTCCAAATAATTAAATTGTTCGATATTATTTTATTTTAAATAATTGTATTTTTATATTTGCAATTATTTTTTCTTCATTTATATATAGATTATTATATTAAATATGTTTTTATATTGAATTTTATTAAATATAAACAATTATAATTAAATAATAATATTAATATCGATCATAATAACAAGAAAATAAAAAAAAAAAATAAATATTTTTTATTGTTTATAAAATTAAATTATTAAATAAATAAATATGAATAAATATGTAAATTAGATAAAAATTATCATTATTTAAATTATTTTTAAAATAGATAATTTAATAATATAGAAGAAAGAAAAATTTAAATTTATATAAATGAGCTTTTTTTTTATGGAGATATAAAATAAAATAAGTTTTTCGAATGACATGACGAAAAAAATATGACGTAGAAGAGAAAAAAAAAAAAAAAAAAAAAAAGAAACCCACATTGGTTATATTGATGTTGATGACTTTAAGTTTGCTCTAAGTCCAGTCTATACGGTCTAACCATTACAGTTGCAACATGTGGACTTTTTTATTTATTATTTTTTTCTTTTCTTTAAATTAAAAATTACTCATTACGTCCAAAATTGCAATTTCATCGTCCAATACATTCTCTTCTTTCTCGTTCTTCCACTGCCTTCTCATAGACTCAATTTTTTAAAATTTCCCACGAAATCCAACCGTCCACGGACGCGCTCACCCATGTTCGGTTTCTCTCCGACATATTTCTTATTACTTTTTCGTTTAAAACTTAGGGTCTGTTTGGATCAAATTTTCTAAATTTTACTATTTGGACTATTCGATTTAAATAAATATATATATTTTTTTCTTCCAAAAAAATAACACCCTTAATTTATTTCGATTTCATAATCCTCTGTGCGTTTCTTTCCCCAAATTTGCCCTACTCATTTCTTTCATTTAGGGGTGGACACAATTCGGGTATTTGCAAATATGCAGATATTTGATATCTGAATCAAACCGAACAACTACCCAAAGCTGTAAACCGTATTCGAATCGAAAATTTTGGTTAACCGAAAATATTTGCAATATTTGCAAATAATCCGAACATAACCGAAATAAAAAAATAATATATTAAAAAATAATTAAAATTCTAATTAAATCAAAATATTGGCAAATATATCAAATATCTGATCTGAAACCGAATCGTAGCCGAACCGAAACCGAACCAAATATAATTATTAATATAAAATTAAAATATAATAATATAAATATATTCGGTTCGGTTAACCGAACTGAAAAAATATAAAAAATCGAAAGCGAACTGAATCGAACAAATATCAAATATGCAGTATTTGTATTGAACCGAATGTGCTCGTTTAATAAAAAATTCGATTTGATTCAGTTCGGTTTAGCGGTTCGGCGGTTCGTTTCAGTTTTTTTGCCTCCTCTTTTACGTAAGTACACAGTGATCTAATTTTGATTTCAATTTTATTTCATTTTTTCTTCATACAGAAATGGTTTTGCTTGAAATTTATTATAGTTTTATAGTTTTCTACGTCCATCATGTTGTAATACTAGCAAATGTTTTTGTTCTTTTAAGTATGTTGAATAATCATGCTTGTTGATTTTGCATTAACTTATATATCCTAAATTTTTGTGTTCTTGCTGAACCTTTTGATCGAATTGAATTTTTCTCATGATTTTGAGGTCATCTATGGAGATTAAAACAAATTCATTTATGAACCTTTGTTCTTAAGTTGTATTTGTGTAAGAGGAAGTTGCTTAAATTTAATCTTATATTAGATGCTTAAATACACTTTAATCTCATTTAAAAAAATTTAAGTTATAATTTTTTTTTTCAATTTTAATTACACTAATCAGTTATCTTAATTTTAATTTAAAATTATTTTTACTATACGATATAATTATTTTTACTAATAAATTTTTAATTATTTACTAATTATATACATCTTATGAATTGTCGTGTCTGCAGTAAAAGGGACTGAGGGAGTATTATTTAGCTAATTTTATTTTTTGTTGAGTTACAACCTCGCCCTCCCTCCCTCCCTTCAGTTGTTTACTATTTTATTTTTAAACAATATGTTTTTAATTTTTTCTTTTAAATTTTCTTCCACTTTTACTGTGTATACTCATTTACATCCTACATGAATTCAAAGGAGCTTTGCTTGGGTGGCTCGCTAGTAAAAATTTGGACTTCGCATACATATGCAATATTTGGAGGAAATTTTCATATTTTCCGAATTAAGGTAAAATAAATGACTCTCATTTTTTTTTTAATGTGGGAAGACGATCATATAAAGACATTGGAATTAGTAAACATAGTGAAGGAATTGAAGAAGGATGTGAATGAATCGAAGAAGTGAATAGTTAGTTATTATATCATATAGTTTTCTGAATAATAGTAGTGACAAATTAGTTCTTAATCCGTGTCAAATCAATTCTTGTCTATTGTTTAATTTGAATATCTAAGCTAATTTCTGTAGGGGGCAAAAAAGAAATCATTTTGTTGGGAATTTGTTTCGTTTAGGATCGATAACTCTGATTATTCCTGCAACCAAATAATCTCACTAAGAATATTAATATATTAGTGCCAATAATCAGAATAATAACTAAAAATAAACTAAGAAAGCAGTGTTAAAATATAAACGAATTATTTGGAATAATTCGGTGAGCTCTGACCACAGTCCACTCCGCGTCAACTTCAAACTTTCCAACGAGGCAACACAACAAAGGGAAGCAATTAAGGGTTTCGACACTGAGAAACTCGTAATCCCACAAAGAACAAAGAAGCACATAAAGGCAAAGAAGAGAAGAAATTCGGCAGAACTCTAGCAAGCGCTAAGTAATAAAAAACACAAAGAAGAACACAAAGTATCGGCACCAAGGGACTAATCTCTCCCTCTCGGCTCCCACCTCCCAAACCATCAAACCCATCAACATATTTATAGCCGAGGAAGAAAGTAGATAAAACCAAAGGGTTTAGGAACAAACCTTGTCAATCAACCACGAAGATGTAGGAACTGATTTCGAATTTTGAAATCGCAAAGTCGTCGGAACGGGAAGAGGAAAGGAGTGGGGAGAACCGATGTGTTTGATTTAGATAGATTTTGGGAAGAGGGATCCGATAATATATAAATCATACCGGGTCAGGGCGGTTCGGGTTTGTGAGATGGGTTGAACCGGAAACACAATCCAACAATCTCCCTCTTTTTTCTAGTCGACCATCATGGTTGCAGAACACGCTAACATTATCGCCTTTATACATGCAACTTACCACATAGATATTGCACACAAAAGTATATATAAAACACATAGCAAACATATATGTGAACACAATAAGGAACACCAAGTTGTAGCACATCAATTGTTTCAAAAAGTTAACATATAACAACAACTTTAGACTAATATCATATATACCAACAAAAGCGTGCGACATTGAGCCACATTAAAAACAAATTTCTTAAAGGGCAATATTAGGTACCATACCTTTCCATTCCTATAAATAACTGCAGTAAGCTATAGACACCCTCCTCAGTATACACCGAAAGTACCAGGAGTCCCCGACGATTCATGCTGCACCCAGTCTTTCACACAGATCAAAGCTTGGAGCGTTGCATCTTTCAGTGAAGTTTGATGCCTATCCATCTTCCGGTCCCTGGTGTCGAACACAGAGTCTGCATAGGCTGTCGAAAGGGGAATGGACAGAACGTCACAAGCCATCTTTGCTATAGTCGGGTACCTCGACCTGTTTTCTCCCCACCATCCCAACACGTCCAATTCATGGACGCAGGGTAGAAGAGATTCTTCGAGATACTAATCTAATTCCGAATCTATGTGCTGTTCGCCTATGATATCGGAGAGATATATGTCGAAATCCGTGAAACCAACGCTGTTCGAAAGGAGGAGGCCATCTTTATGAACTGCAGAAAGTGGTTTCGCTGCCATTGCATGGTTTCCTATTGAATAAAACAAGGTTTTAAAGTTTATCCCAAAAAAAAAAAAAAATGACTATCCCTAATAGCTTAAGCTTTTAGGTGAGTCGGTCATTTATATAATTGTTGGATTGTTTAATTTTTAGGCTAAGTTTGTCAACCTATTTACAGTACACCCGAGCATCAATCAAGATCATACTCGCCAAAAAATGATAGTTGTCGTTGAGATTTCTTTGACCTTTAAATTCTTCTAAAGAACATTATTGAATGGAAAATATTTCAACAAAAATGATTATTTATTATTTATTGAATTTATGTTATGTTTTTTTGGAATACAAAGTCAGTGCAAACCAAAAGCAACCTCAGAATACAAATTGATCGAAGAGAGGAAAAATTCTGACTTTTATCACAAATCTATACGAATAACAACTCATCACAATCTGTTTCTCCAAAAAATCAACCAGATAATACATAATATATAATGAATCAATCAACACATCAATCTGTTTCTTCCAAAATACTTTCAGTCAAGACGTACCTTAATTGAGCATTCTCAACCTCGGAGGCCTAAGGAGTGGGTCAAGTCGGCATTCTTCGGCTGGTGGATGATCTTTTCAAACATATGTTTAGTTTTCTTATGCTTCACTATCTCCTCGAGAATCCAGTCCTCAATATTTGTCCCCGGCTTCTGCTGCTTTGACATAGCCTTCTCGTTCGAAGAAGAGCAGAACACTAATTCTGAGAGCCGCTTTTTCTCCGCTTGCCGGTAATATTTGTCCGCCTCAGTCGTGCCAGCAGTCATAAGATGATAGGTATGGACAAACCTCTTTTGCCCAATACGATAAGCCCGACAGACTGCCTGCTGTTGCACTGATGCATTCCAGACAACATCGAGCAGAATGACCCTGGAAGCCCCTACCAGGCTTATGCCCTCAGAGCAGCACCTCGTCGACGCCAGCATGATCTTCGAATCGTCGTCTGGATTATTGAATGCGTTGATCGCTTTCTGGCGTTGCTTCTTATCTTGCTTCCCTTCCAGCTTCAGAATTTCCTTCCCGACGTGCAAATCAAAAATCGCAGTCAGATACTCTTTGATCAGCTCCAATGGCTGAATGTACTGGCTGAATATGACAACTTTTTCCTTCAACCTCAAACTGAGGTAGACAAACTCCATGACGAATTTTGTCTTGACTCCATTGCCAGGATTCTGCTTCGATGCCTCGACTGCTTGCACATCGATTCCATCAGTTGGCACGTGCAATGCACATTTTTGGATGAGGTATGGATGAATAGATGCCATATTAAATTTGAATTCACTTTTAAGTGTTCTCCTTAACCGTCCCTCTTCTAACCTGTCGATTAGTTTCTTTTGCATTCCAGTCGGTTTCAGGAGGATGACACAATCTCTTATTCCTGGGTGATTCTTTTGCAGGATAGTGCCTTTGTGCACGTGCAAAAACGGTGACATGGAGACTTTAAGCCTCTCCACTGCATGGTTGATGGCTTCGGGAAGGAAAGCAGGCCGAGAGCTTTTCTTATCCGAATGCAGAACTTCAGCAAATGTCCGGTCCTGCATAGTCGCTTCTACTACTGTCGGCCTTACAATCTTCAGCGTGTTGAACAGCTCTTTGAAGTTGTGTTGGAATGGCATCCCTGACAATATGATGTCATTTTCAGTCCTGACCTGAACCAGTGAAGTAAAAATTTTACTCTTGCGGTTACGAGTATGGCCTTCATCGAGAATCACCAATTAATCCGGGCATAAAAAATAGCCACATGTTGATAGTAGATACAATACAATCCTTGATCGTCTTTCAATGTCAATTCATGCAGCCCTCGAGCACATCTGTGCTCCTGAGTTTCTTCCTCTTCCCCATCCCCCACTTGAACAACCTGCACGCCATGAATAAATTGTTAGTTATCATATCATATAGCTTTCTGAATAATAGTAGTGCAAAACTAGTTCTAAATCCGTGTCGAATCAATTCTTGTCTATTCTTTGAATATCAAAATTAGTCTACAAAAATGTTGAAACTGATTGACTTACCTCATGGCAGGTAATCATTCCCATTTTCTCCACAGCATAGTTGAAGTTGAATTCTTCGAACAAGCGTCCACGTCCTTCGCCCGTGCAGCTTATCCCTGTTGCTCTTCTGTCAGTGGCACGACATCGTCTTCTTCGAACAGGAACTTCTTTGGAAGAGGTGGGTAGTTTTCAGCTCCAGTAAGCATTGTTCCAGACAGTGGTCCGAGAATGGATTCTTCTAAGATCTTGGAGATGTCAAATCGTTTTGGCTTCAGCTTCTTTGCTTTAGCCACTATCATGAACTTCATCATCTTCTTCTGCTAATTCGTGGAGCTTTGGCCCCTGTGACCGGGTGCCCTCCTGCATTGCCTGCATGCTCGTCATTTCCACAGATTTCTGATGGCCTCCTCTGCTTGGTCTTCCTCTGAGGAGAGTTCACTACAGTCTTAGCCTTTCGTTTTGGAGTTCTGATTCTATGCTGCTACGAAGCCTCCACGGTGCTACCCTCTGCATTGTCAACTCTTTTATTATTATTCACTTTTCGCCTCTTCGTTGCAGTGAAGACTCAGCCATTACAAATTAAAATCAAGGACTTCTTTCAATTCTTCTCAGAAGGCTGCATCTTGTACATGTTATTACTTCTTCATCAAGAGCTATCGAAACAAGCGCTTGTCCACCTACAAAAACAACAATTGCAGATAAGACATGATTGTAGTTCTTGAAATGGAAGCAGTATAGCTTCAGGATCGATTTAGCCACCAGCTCCAAACCTGGTATGCATCAAGATCCACTTGACCACACGAAGTACAAATGTCCTGGGCTGCCCATATAGGAGAGGTCATGGTTCCCATCAGTGCATCCTTCAGTTTGAGCTGCTAGAAGCTCTTTATCGAACTCAAACCATGGAAGTTCAATTTGAACATAGAATGAAAAATTATAAATGCATAGATCCAACTTTGACCTAAGTGCAGAAAATAGGGATGATCCGAGGTGAAGGGAAAGGGTCAAAAGAATGGTCAAAGTCAAGCAAGAAAAAAGACAAAAAAGATGGAGTCAGGTGGTACGGTGGAAGTGCAACAAAAAAGGGCACTTGAAACGACAATGGAGGGCGCCAAAGAACAATTAGGGTTCGGCGAACCCAACGAAGAAAATATTGATGCAATAATTTTGAGTGTCAGCAGTCCAATATGGAGTCATGGATCTTAGAGTTGGGAGCATCATTCCACTAATGCAGTGATTCGGGAATCATAGAATCCTATATTGCATGTAATTTTGATGTTGTCTATCTTGCAGATAATGAGCCACTGAAAATTGTAGGAAAGTGGAGGGTCCGAATTAGAATATTGAATGGAGGCGAGTGAAGAATGAATGACGTAAGACATATCGCTGGTCTGAAACAGAATTTGATTCCCAATTGGATGAGCAGGTTTTTCAAGAGTTTTTGAAACTAAGTCATAGAAGGTAACCAAGGGATCCATTGTGGTGGCTCGAGCAATCCTGGGAGGCAATCTAAGTTGGTGACCTTAGATAAATTGAGATTGTGTTCAACCGAAAATGGCCTCGATGAGCGAAGAATGAGGCTTGGCGCTGATGAAGTAAAATATGAAAGTGGGAGATGCAATCAATCTTCAGATGGAAGAATGTTCGGATATGAAGTCTGATTATATTATAAAATATAGAGATATAATTTCAATATTATTGGCATGGGCCTAGGTTTTGCTAAGCTACAAGTATACATGTATTCTTAGTTTAACATGTGTGTGCGTATTCCATATTAAAATTTCTGACTTCGTAGCGCCCCCATAGTAGATCATTATGATTGAATTGAGTAAACAATTTTTGTGTTCTTATATTCTTGAATTCTTATTTTCCGCAACATATAGGACTCTCCAGATACTAGACGTAGAATTTCAAATATTCGAACTCACAACTACTCAATTCAACATTTGAGAAATGTATAGGTTTGCTTTCCGAAAAAATAATTATGTCTAGCATACGATTAATTAATTTGACCAGGGAAAAAGAGAAAGGAGTTTTTATCAACTCTCTAGATGTAAAATTTGGAATCTTTAATATCATGACCACTCAATTATGGATTTAAGAAACATGTACAACCATTTCACATACAGCGAAAACAATTTTAATAACTTACAATTAAATTATGACTAACAAACTAAAAAATTATCAGATTGAGAGGAAACAAATGATTTTAGATTTTTTTTGTGTATCTCCAATGTATCGAACTAACGTCAAGTATATTGAAAACTAGCTCCCTAAAACCAAATGAACAAGAATTAACAATATACCTAAGAAAAAATATAGAGCAAATATAAAAATAGATTGAAAAAGAAATACCGCATTTATTTTATATTCGACTTTCAAAATAATTGTAGAATGTGAAAAGTTCAAATTCTCTTGACCACTCAATTATAGATTTGAGAAATTCGCACATCAAAAATGTGTTGGAAAGGGAAAAGAGAACAATTATGATAATAAATAGAAATTAAAAATAAAAATCACCTTGAGTTTAAATTAGAATCTTTAGTGTATTGAAAAACGAAAGAGAGAAACAATTTTGATCAGTATATCAGTAAAATCTCACTGTATCGAAAATCTAGATCTAATTGAATCGTAGGTTAGAAAAACAGAATTAATTATTGTATCAACAATGAATGGAATGAAAACGAGGGAATGCATATAAGAATAGATTTATTAAACAAACATCACCTCAAGTTTAGATGCCACTCTCCAAATATTTGATTTAAAATGCGAGATCTCCGAATTCTTGACTACTCAATTCTATTGAGGGAAAAAATGAATTATGATTGGAAATCAACAATATTATTTTATGAAGAAGAAGATAAATGATTTAGAGTTTTTGTCAAACCGCGAGTATATCGAAACAACCTCGAGCATATCAAAAAAATATCGGTTGTTTCAAAAGAGTAAATTCAATCTAATTGTAGTTAAATCTAAATGAGTAACAACATCATCATTGTATCAATAGAGAAAGGAGAAAAATGAGGACAGAGTAAAAAACAAACATCACCTTGTTTATATTCGGCTCTCCAAATAGTAAATGTAGAATCCACAATATCATCTTATTACGAAGGAGATACATGATTTTCAGTTTTTGTCAAACCTCGAGTGTATTGGAATAATCTCGAGTATTTCGTAAAGGTAAATTCAATTGAATTGTAGTTAAATCTAAATGAGTAAAAACAATGTATCAAAAGAGAAAAAAACAAACATCACCTTGATTTTAAATTTGGTTCTCGAATAATAGATGTAGAATGTGAAATCTCTTCATTCTTGACTACCCAGTTCAGATTTAAGACATGTACACACTTTGCTTTAGTTAAAGTAGTAAGATCAGATTTTAGAAATATATTTTAGCACATGACTAACACACGACTGAATATTATCTATGGGATAATGATAAGAGAAAAATTCTGAGCTTTTTTTCAAACCTAGATTGTAGTATTCTTACCTGAATTTCTTCTGATCTTCTCGCTCAAGATTAGATCCCTAACAACATCAAACTTCCTCGTGCTTCTTCCTGGAAGAAGTAATACTCAAGGCTATTACTATCGAATCCCAATTATCTAGACAGTAGCAAGATTACAGCTTTAATATCTTAACCCAATTTAAGATTCACCGACTGCAGTTGCGCAATAATGAGGTAGAATTCGTTCAGATGCACAGCAACAAGAGTTCCTTCAACCATTCTCAAGTTATAGAGTTTTCACATCATGTAAAAATTGTTTGCAGCACACGATTTTTCATACATATCCGATATGATTCTTGAAATCTTCAGTGTCAATTTTGCTTGAACCGTCTAAAATGAGACATTCTCTGAAACTTTCTGTCAATTTTCTTGTATTCGGCTTCATCCATGTCTTCGGGTTTTCCTTCAGCAGCGCTGCCTCTAGATCTTTACCAAACAGGTAATCTTCTATCTTTATCTTCCACAAACCGAAGTTCATTCCATCGAATACCTTAATAGCACGTGATCACTCATCTTGACTCCCACTCAAATAAACCTAGGGCTCTGATACCAGTTGTTGTGGAAATAAGAAAAGAAAACAAAAATACAAGAACACAAGAATTTGATTATCCAGTTCAATAAGAATGATCTTCGTCTAGGAGCGTTGCCAAACCAAAAATTTTACTATAGAATAGGCATAATACACATGTTAAAGTGAGAATACATGTATATTTATAGCCTAGCAAACCATAGGCCCATGCCAATAACATCCAAATCATATCCAAATTATATCTTTAGATTTTAGGATATAATTAGACTTCATCTCCAACACCATCTAAACTCAAGGTGATGTGGACTTTTCAATCTATTATCATATTCTCCATTGATCCCTTTCGATAGATTGCTGATGCTATTACATTTGGTTTTAACTACAATTCGTGTGAAGCTATTTTTTTTTTCGATGTAGTTGAGGTTTAGTTGAGGTTCAATTCTATGACACACTCTAGGTTCGACAAAGAGCTAAGAATTCTTTCTCTAATCATTATCCATAGATTATTTTAAGTCGTATGATAGTCATAATCTAAAATAATTTTACTTAATATTATTTTTTTTCTTTATATAATGCAAAGTGTGCACATGTTTTAAATATAGAATTGGCTAGTAAAAAATTAAGTGAATTTCACTTTCAACATAGATTATTTGGAGAACCGAATTCAAAATCAAGGTGATGCTTGTTTTTTCTCTCTTGAGACATTGTTGATATTGTTACTCATTTAGATTTAACTACAATTACATTGAATTTAAATTTTTGAAACACTCGAGATTATTTCGATACCCTCGAGGTTTGACAAAATTAAAATTGAGAATATAAGATGATATTTTGGATTTTCAATCTTAATTTATGAAAAATGTGATCTAATATTACTTTTTTCCTTATATGATTGAGTAGTCGAGAATTCCGAGATCTCGCATTTTAAATCCATTATTTGGAGAGTGGCATTTAAACTCAAGGGGATGCTTCTTTTATCAATCTATTCTTATATGAATTCTCTCAGTTTCCTTTGATGCAGTTGATATTGTTATTCATTCACTTTTTTTTTTTTTTTTTAAGATACGATCCAACGGGATCAAGGTTTTTGATACACTTGGAGTTTTATTGATATATTCATAGAAAAACCAAAATTACTTCTCTGTAGGTGTTCGATACACTCAAGGTTATATTGATATGCTCGAGGTTTGAAGAAAACTCAAAATCATTTCTCTCTTTCTCAGCCAAATGATTTTATCATTTGTTGATCATAATTTACATAAAGCTATATAATATTTGTTATGAGAAAACAAGAAAGAAAATAAATAAAGAACACAAAGGTTTTACGTGGTTTGGTGACAGTGTGTT